TTGGTATGTTACCTTCCTATTTCTTAATGCTCGCTGCATTTATACATTCACCTTTGGTCTTAAACATCATATAGATGAGAAATTAATGTTAAAAATGGATTATGTATGGCAGGGTTATTCAGGGTTGTTTTGCTACTTGACACTGGGTCAGATTCTGCTGTCTTCATATCATGGCTTCACTAAACATAGCAATTTTGGAGATGTTTAGATGGCGTATCATAGTAATTTTTTTGCATCTGAACTGTCATCTATTCTGTATTGTAGGGTTTAATCCACTGCAAATTCAACAGAACTTTTTGTGCAGAGCTACTTAGGAATACTGGGGAGGATGCAGCAGACAGGAGGGGAAAAGTCAGTCAGAAAATACTTATTAAATTAAACTAAAGCTAGATACTTATTAAACTAAACTAAAGCTACCCAAATTCAACTTTTCTGGGAAAAAAAAGAATTGTGAAGAATTTCTCTTAGTTTTCTTTCTGTTTTACCCAGTCAGTGCACCCCTGCAGGCACACACCCATCCCAGCACCACGCTCCCCAGGACACTGCAGGGTCGGGGCCCGCACCCAGACCCACAGCAAGGGTAGGTTAAGCTGAGCAAATGCCCCTCTTCAAGCTCCATATTTCTCCTAACTGATTGAATACAGTATTTCAGATACTTAGTACTCCCTACATTTACATGGCTGCAGGCATGACAGCTGAGGTTCGATTAACAACCAGAAACCGCAGAATGTCCAGTACTGTGGAACGGAATAGATTATGTCCTATACTATTGACTTGTTAGTAATTCTGTTACTGTTTTCTGCTTTGATGAAACTCTCATTTTTGCATGGAATTTTTCATTTTAATTTACATTGTTAAGATTTCAACCAAGATACTGTAAGCAAAAATAATCATTAGGTTTCCAGCATAATCATCAATAATAATTTTGTTCCCAGCATTTCTGACAATCAAGCATGCAAATTATCTGAACAATATGGACACAAACCTTTTAATGATAGCCACTTTAAGAAAATTCCTCTCTTAGAATGTTTCTTATCACTATTTATAGCCCTATTTCTGTTTTTTGGATGCTGAAAAAAAACAAAAATTCTCAAAAATTAACATTAACATGAACAAAAATTAACCCCAAAAATACATCATTTCAGCTACAACTGTCTCCTCATTTACCGAAGTCTCCACAGAGAAACCTGGTTTAACTTCTATTTAATATGCAAGCATAGAACAAATGTCTCTGCTAACTAAACTAACCCCACATAAGCATTAATACACATTTTTAGAGTGAGAAGTAAACCAGATAAAAGGCAAATACCAGGGAAAAAACCCAAAACCACAAATGTTCATATGAATATTTAAACAAATGTGTTTGCACTACACAGAGACCTTATTTATATTAGCTGCTCATCAACCTTAGAGTTGATTATTTACCAAAACAACTTGTAAAATGCAAACTTTTAATTAGTACAGTATTGTCTGTATCCCCACCTGACATTTGTTTAATAATGACTCCCAATCTGCGAGAAGAAACTACACCGTATGAGCCATAGGTCCCATAAATCAGTTTGAACACCAGAATTTCTCAGTTAACTGTCTGTATTACCCCGCAGACCAAGAGTTATTTGCTAAAATAATTCAACACATAAAATGAATAATGTTGGCAGAAAAACCCATCATTCGCCGAAAGAAAATTTAAGAGCAAAGCAAGAAACTTAGCTAGCTATTTGAATAAACCATTCCCCTGCTAACTTTAAGGAACATTTATGATCCCTGCTTGAATTGAAAAAACTTGAATTATTGTTCTAATCAGCTAGAGACAGAGAGGTAACTGGAGACTGTACATTAAGGTAGACCAGCAAAGGGACCACACGGCAGCATGCCAGGGAGAGTCATGCATGGGACAGATGGGGCACAGTGCATGTGTCCCCTCCTCCAGAAGCATGTGGAGCGGGGTCATTACTTGAAAGGGTGCATTTTATTTCCTTTCCTCAGTCCTGGCTGCCACAGCAGACATGAGAAGAAACAAAAAGCCAATCCGTACATGTCATCCACCTGTCACTCCTCCGAAACTTTCTTGCTTCTGACCCCATGTGAATGCATTCCCCTGTTCAGGCATGGGAACATCTCTCTTCTGCTACTACCTCTGGCATTTCAAATGAGATCTGCTGGAAAGGAAAACTATCATAGACAGAAAGAGAGCATTCAGTACAGCTTGTCAAGAGCTAACATCCATGGAACATGGCCTTCACACCAGGACAGTGCCCTTATCCATTTACTGCTCGGCAGGGTCCTGCTTCTGAAGTGTTTGTATGTGCTGCCAAAGAAGGGTATTCTTAAATATTGTGATGGATTCAGCTACAGCTTCAACAGCAATAGACCTCCAGCTGCTGAATGGAAAACTTGCACACTATCATAGAGGAAGTCTTCTCAGAGTCAGGCTGTCCTATGGAGCAATGCACATCAAATGTCCCTAGAAAACACAGCATGCAAAGCGCTCGAGTGTGCAGTGTTACTTCTACCAAAATGAGAAATTTTGAAAGATGCCAAACACAAAGCAGAAGTCATATTTTGCAAGGGGCTCTTCCATCTCAGTTTGTGTTTGACCTACAGTGCATTCCAGAGGGCAGACCAAACTCCACCAAATTGCTCCCAAAGGAATGCTTCACTTACCAAGGAGGCTGGACAAATATCAACAAGGAATCCATTAATGAGGGGTTAAAGGAAGAAAAGCCATCTTAAAATGTAGGAATACAAAGAGAGATGTGCTGAGTGGAAGTTCAGCTGAACTGTGCCTACATTTAAAGAGATTCAGTATAGCACTTGCTGTATCAATGGCCAAGCTTTCAAACAAGGCCTGAACTGTGAAACAGGTACAGGCCACCTACTTCAAAGGAGAGTCTGAATTTACTGCGTGGATCCTCAAGAATAATCAGGATATTGCCACAGTCCCAGAGCTCCTATACAGATAACCATACACTTGTTATGAATTTGAGCCATCAAATTTCCAATAAGCAGTAGCCCTGTATGAGGATACCAAAGGTCCCACAGCTGCTGTTGCTAGGAATCGCTCTCAGCGACAGCGAGGGATGTACCCTCAGGAGTTTGACAGAGGGCACAGCAGGCTTGGAATTGAGCATTAATACACAGAGAGGCAAATACTAGGAAAATATTACTGGGAAGACACAAAATTTCTTCTTTACAAAGTAGATTTATACTGAGACCAGTATGCTTTAGTGCAGATTTGACTATTTAAGTCAAAAATGCTTTCTGCAAGGATGTTTGTAACTGCATCACTTCCAGGTAAATGAAAGCCAACCAGAGTGGGCAGTATGGTCCTCAGTTTTCCTAACCAGTCTCTTCACTGCAGCAGTACAGGAGATCTCCAAAGTACCAGAACAAGAGAAAATGACTTTTTAAACACTAGTCTGTTTTTTTCCAAAACTACAGCCTATACTAGTTGACATGAATGAACTGGTTTCCTGTGTTTATCATGTTTTGTAATTTTATGCATAAAATTTGATGCATTAAACTGCCTTCCAGTTTCCAGTTGCAGAATGTCCACGTAGACAAAAAAAAGCAGAACAACCACAGCTCATTCACTTTTCTAAAAATATTCAAAGTGTGCAGAATACAAAAGCTAGCTAAAAGAGAAAGTTTTACATGAATCCATAAAACTGTATAAAACACAGCTTAGCTATTATAAAGCAACTTCAAAGCCACCTTATTTGGTCATTTCCTACACCATCACAAAGAAAAGGGAATGCTCCTCAGCTTCTGTACAACAATGTAGAAGAGAGAAAAGTACAGGAAAGCAAAATCTCATGGTAAATAAAATCTTTTTACTGACAATGATGCTGCACCACGGGATAATACTGATTGCCTCATTACCAAAAAGTAATTTTGGAAACATCTCAGCACTTTCCGGCTAAAAATACTAAATTAATCTTGCATCCAGCAACCTGTGTGATGTCAACTTCTCTATCACAATTTATGGTTTCATTTTTGCTGTGCCTGGTGACAGCTCCTAAAAACGAAAGGAAAGTCATTTATGTGTAATTTAAAGTCTGATTATTTGAGTGTTAAAGTTCCCTGACAGTCCTTTATATTGGGAAGGGGAAAGTTAGTAAGAAAATGAATCAGCTTTCCTACATTAAAATAACTTCTCAATCTGATGTGAAAGTCAGGCCTAAAGTTTGTTAATATTAACATATGGTGCAAAAATGTGGTTTCATCTGAGAACAATTTCACAAATTGTAATATTGTAGATGGCAACACCTGAGAATAGAGGATAAAGGAACTTCATATGTGCCTTCAAACGTTTCAAAAGACAAGGAATCGAATCAATAAATGAGCTCTCTGAGCAAGATAATTTGCTACATCGTACTTGGAATTGATAGAAAATTTCACATGAATAATTTTTTACACAAAATAACCCAGATTTTATTCTAAATCAATATTTTCTATATGAAGATATTGACTACAGCATATTTTATGTCAGGGCAAGTCAAAATATTGCATTTGGGTTTGTCAAACTGGAACATTTCATTTCAAATTGAGTCAACATAAACTTTGGTTTGGCTCAGCCTTGGTGTTGCTTCCCTTGGCTACTCCCCACAAGCTGTGCTCTGTAGCCAGGCTACACTTTCTGTAACACACAATGCGTGATCTTCGCTACTGAATCGTCTCTGCAGATTAACTACGGTAGCTCAAGCGGATGCTTGCTTTTATGCTACCTTTCAAAACTTCCACATTTTTTATTTTATCAAAATATTTTTGTTGTTTTTTTACAGTTGTCATCTAGTTACAATTGCTTCATGGAAGGAAGAAGCCTGATATTTCAAACTTTGATGCTAAAGCAGATGAAAAGAAATACAGAAAGTAATCATACTTTCCTATAGAAGGAAAGTCCATTTGCACTTTTACGTGTGCGCTCTCTGATTAATCTGATTCTGTCGTTACTGATATTTTTTATGTATTTTGTATTACTTTCTAGGCTACAGAAGAAAATGAACCACCTTATTCTACTTTTCTCACTGTACTTGGCTCCAGCATTTGCTGACAATGAAAACCAGAAAACAAACCAAATTTTTTCTTCAAACAATGCTAGTCACAAACGACTGAAAAGAGACTGGATATGGAACCAAATGCATATCAAAGAAGAGATTGATACACCATTGCCGCACCATGTTGGCAAGGTAAACAGCAGCCTGTTAGCAAGGAATAATTAGAAATGCAGACATCAAATGAGTATCTTGAAAAGTATTACATGTTTGCAGTCTAGGCAGTATAGAAGAAAAAAAAAGGAAATAGAAATGATACTTTATACCAACATACTTATGTGTTAAAATCTTAGGAATGGGACACAGAGTAAATAAAAAATAATGTCAAACAGATTCTAATTCTTTGGAAGAATACAAATAAATTTTAGAGAATGGCAAGTATGGAGCATCTGCAGTGAAGAAACAATTGCATGCAGGTCTACAGTTAGGAGGGAAGTCTTGCAGCTGATGTATTTCAAAATTTTTCTGGCAGCTTAAGATTCTTTCAAAAACCTAAGAAATCATCTAATAAAAACATATGCATTAAAAACCATAGCGTTTACATCTCTTAGCCTGTGTACAAAACAGAAGTGCTATGCTTAGGAATACTGTTACACAAACAAAAAATTTGTTCCACAAAGTGAAAGAAAATAATTCTTAAAAATAATAACGAGCATTGACCTGCTTGCAAGCTCATTTTCTTCAGGGCAGCACTCATAAAATCCTATGATTAACTGCATATCACCCAGACAAAGTTCTTCCAATCTAGTCTTTCAAATTGAACTACTTTGACACTTTTCAGATAAATGCAGTTGTACATTTTCCTCCCATGTACAACAATCAGCATCTGTCAAGGCTGTCTCAGCAAAGTGAAACAGACCTTTCTGGATCAGTGCTGCTCCCTGGCAAAATGCACGAGAGAGAAAGAGGCCATAGGGTGCTCTCAGCTAACACAGGGCATCTCTGTTTCATTTCAGACTAATTCAGTAGCAGACTGAGGAGAACACTTCTATTCCTGGAGCTGTCCTAAATAAGAGTAATTCACTTTGTACTGTGCCCCCTAGTCTTTCAACAGTGGAATGTTTCTGATTACTTTTGCAATGGCTGTGTTCAGTGCATTGCATTTGCAGGATTGAACACTTGATAAACCCTTTAAAAATGACCACGGCAGCAGCATGGCAGAACTGAGTGACAGCTGCAGGAATATGCTGATACATTTTGATTTTATCTTTCATGACCTTGGATGCTTTCCTTTGTATGTTCGTCCTCAGTTTTAGAAAAGGCAATCTTGGAAGTCTATACCTTTGACACTGAATAAGTAAACACAAATTGAGAAAGAAGGCACAGACTATGCTATCTTTGAGACAAGGGTGAGGTTATTTCTCAAGTTACATCTCTCTGGAGTTGTAAACTGTTCTTCAGCAGCCAGAGGCATGATTAAGTATGTGGAACAAAAGAAGAAACTTTTAATAATATATTTCAAAATAAAAACCAGACATGAAAGAATGTTCAACAGTAAATGACATCTACAGGATAGATCCAACCCTGAATACCAAACAGCTGCAACTTATGATAACATCAGTAACAAAAGACTAGAAATGCTCGGTCAAACCCAGCAGTTATTGATAAATAGCTTACTGAAATAAGAATGCTGATACAATGCATGGAAAATTGCGGTTTAAACCTTCTACCAGTGTCCTCAGATGGGTGAAGGTATAGAAAGGGAAGAACTATCAGATTATCTGCAGATTAAATAATGAGCAAAACCATTTGAAATTGGATTAAATTACACTTTAAAACTGATTAATGTTCTTTCCTTTTATCCCATCCCTTTTTCATTGTGTATAAGCTTAAATTTTAAAATCTATGGGGTGGAGATGTAATCTTACTGTCATAGAATGAGCCTAAAGACTGACTATAAAAAATTGTATGTGATTAAACACAAGAAAGCTGTCAGCTGTGGCAGGAATTCTGCTAAATGCCAAGTAATAGAGACTAATGCTGAATAATATCAGTAGTTGTCAATATAGATTTGATTCTGCAATTCTGTGAAATCTAAGCAAAATCTCTGCAAGGTTCAGAAGGTTACTTGCAAACAAAAGCAGCTAAAACTGAATGTAGTGGCACATGTTATTTCAGACATAATGAGGTTAACTGCATGAACAATTTACATCTTCAGGAAATATGAGATATTATGTAAAAAGAAAAAAAAATGCTTCTTGATATATAACCAGGCAAGTTTCAGCCTGGATGCAAGTTTCATCCTATAACCCTGCATGGTTGTAGCTGCTGTGATGCTGTTTGTTCAGTAATACTTCAGCTGACATCAAAAGTCTTGATGGTTATTTTGGCTATTCTGGTTTCAAACCAAGTCTGAAGAAGTCCTGATCGTGTGCATCTTCTGGTAGAAACTGTGTTGATCCAGATGCCAAAGCCCACTTTTATCTCTTTGCATTGTACTTTCCTTCTAGATCACATCAAGTGTAAGGAACAACAACGCTAAGTATATTATTGAAGGTGAATATGCCAACACCATTTTTAAAGTGGAAGAAACCAGTGGTGACGTCTATGCATTTGAGAGGCTAGACAGAGAAAAGAAAGCAGAGTATGAGCTGATAGCTCTCATTATTGACCGAAGAAACAACCAATCGCTGGAACCCCCATCTAAATTCATTATCAAGGTTTATGATATTAATGACAATGTCCCCGTGTTTGTACAAAAAGTATTCAATGGGTCTGTCCCAGAAATGTCACCAGTAGGTACGTTGTTCTGTCAATCATTTCTCTTCACGCCTCTGGTTAAAAAGCAGAATTTATACTAAATACGCTGTTTGAAAACTGTTTTCTAGGAACCTCAGTCACCAAAGTGACAGCTGTAGATGCTGATGACCCAACAGTTACAGGGCATGCCACAGTTACCTACCAAGTCATTAAAGGCGATGAATACTTCACAGTTGATGACTCTGGTAGGTCAGATATGTAAACAGCCTTACACTTTGTCCTTACCGTATGCCTTGAAGAAAACACAGTTTTAAGCCTTTTTCATTCTGGACAAGAGGGATAATAACTCCACATAAATAACTAATAAATAATAACAGATAAATAAAATAGATAAATAAATAATAGATAAATAAAATGCTACTTAAATCTGAATGTGTGGCATAAGACAAAAATTTGCCGTCAAAATTAAGAGATGTTGGACATACTGGAAAATCTAATCATATTCAATGTTATTTTTTCAAAGGTGTGATTTCCACAACAAGGGCTGATTTAGACAGAGAGAATCAATCCACATATGAAATTATTGTTAAAGCAAAAGATGCTCCCGGGTCTTCTGGGGACTCAAGCACAGCTACAGTCATTATCACTTTAACCGACATCAATGACAACTTCCCAGTATTCAAACATCGTAAGTATAATGCAAGCACTGTATTATTTGGAAAACAAGGGTTGACACAACTATAATGAATTTACCCCAGAGTTCATCACAATTCAACTTTTCTTAAAATTGAACGACAGAATCTTACATATTCAGAAAGTCTTCTGTATTTCAGCCCCAGCTATATCTCCTAGAGAAGAAAATAAAAATCAGTATTAATTTCATCATTTTGTTCAAGATCTTGGCAATTCTGATAATTAATTATATTTTAGTGAAAAAATTAATCAAAGTCCTGTCCGTAGAGATACATAATGCTGGATTCACAATGAAATACTTTTCTGTATGTCTGTAAGAACAGTTTTTAACTAAGTTCTAACTCCCATGTGCACACTCCTTATGTCTTCTTTGTTGTTTTGGTTTGTCTTTTTTTAACAGCATCATTTCACTTTAAAGTTCCTGAAAACATCTCAGTAGGAGGAGAAGTTGGCAGAGTCAAAGTAGAAGATATTGATGAACCACAACATAGAAATACGAAATACAGTTTTGTCAGAGGAGATTACAGGGACACCTTTGAAATTGTAGCAAATCCATTCACAAATGAAGGAATCATTAGGCCAAAGAAGGTACTTTTGCCAGTAACAAAGATGATTCATTTTCTTTTTCTATGTGCAACAGGAGTATTTGATTCAGTCTGGGTCGAGCGGTAGGAAAAATGGAAATGAAAGGACGTCAGCATGAAATACGTTCATCCTGAAAACCCTGTTTCGTCATCTTTGTAAGAAGGGCTGGTGATTTATTAGGCCATTGCAACTGCCAGTCCCAGGAAAATCTAGAATTACTGCAGATTGCAATGGGAACTATGTCAGATATTCAGGTTACGCACTTCAGGTACCTCTCAAACTTCAGATAAATGGATGCTTCAAAGAGACAGTGATTTTATGAGCTGAACCCACTGACCATGTCAAAGAATCTTCCCCTTCTGCAGCCCAAGTGAAACCAAAGTAAAAAATGTGAACAAGTCTACCTGAGCACTCTTCTGGAAGTGCTCTTTACAGTTTGGCACTTGCTCCAATGTGAACCACCGCTGCCTTACTTTCCTCGGGCTTTTCAGAGCTTCCCCACTACTTCCTTATAGCTCTTTAAGAGGGCCCAGACTCTCCAAAACCTTTATTATGGTTTACTCTTTGTTTTTTAATTCTCAAACCTACTTGATTCATGCCAAGGGACATTCCTGCATTATGCAGCCAAGAGTTCATTGATTTCATTGACTTACTGTAAAAAAAGAGAGGAGGGAGAACTACAAATCACCTCCTGTAATCCTTACATTGACAGGAATGTGTTTTTCACTTCCAAATGTCTCTCTATAACTATTAAGACTAGAAATGTCATTAAGAAGAAGAGAAAACTTCAAGGAAAAAAGTACCAAGTGTTCCAAGACCGGCAGTGAAGTCTGCAGCTGTGGTCACGCTAGGTGTAAGCAGCTTTCCTTCACCAAATGCTGCCCTTCTCCTGGTCTTTCCAGGACCTGAGAAATGCATTGCTTGCAATTTCTGCCCAGATGAGGAGCAATAGGAGACCCCACACGTACACGACTGGGTGATCTAGAATCGGCTCATCTTTTAACACGCAGTGGGCAAAGGTCACCCCGCTGTTTTGTAAGATGCTATTGACCATGCACATTTCATAATTTTAAACATGCAGTCATGTGAGATAAAATTTCAACTCCTTATTTGCATTACCACTTCCATTTGCAAAGTTTACTTAGACATCTCCAAAGGAAAAGTAACTGTATTTGTCTTTTTTCTAGCCCCTGGACTTTGAAAAAGTCGCAGAATACAGGTTTGACATTGAAGCAACAGATCCCACAGTTGATCTTCGCTATTTTAAATCCGGTGGCTCTAGGAGCATTTCAACAGTCACCATTGAAGTCACTGATGTTGATGAGCCTCCTGTCTTCACTAAACTACCATATGAATTTAAAGTAAGGGAAAATGACCCAGAAATACGAATACTTGGTTCTGTTTGGGCACACGACCCCGATGCAGCTAAACGGAAAATCAGGTAACATGACACCAGCTTTAGTAATTATATTTTAAAGTGGAAAATTCATTAATGATTCTAATTTGACAGAGAACTGAGACTTTGGCTCTATTATTCAGAATCTGCATGCCAAAATTAATAAAATAAAATAAAAAATCCAATTTGATTTTTCTGGCACTGTAGCCATGGATATAGAGAGTAACCAACAAACATGACCATAAATTACATTTACCCCTGTAATTACCACATAAACTTACTGATAAAACATTTGAACATTTAAGGGAAAATGCATAATCCTGGATATCTTTACATGGTTATAATTTACTGTTACATTTCCTATTGTAATAATTCTCTCAAGCATTTGCATGGAAAAGAAAACAGACTTCTGAAGCAGCACAAGAAAATGATCTGGAAATTTTTCCAATGGATCTATTTTACTCTCGTAACTTGCATAATTTTAGGGAAATACTGAGACCGCCTGGTCAAGATATTAATGCAAGTGGTCACACAAGAACTCTTTGACCTTCCACTATGAAGAACTGAGGTGAAACAGTATTATCACCCTTGCATTGACATATCTCTTTTTAAACAAAAAACAGATTTATTCGACGAAAAGCTAGTCCTAATGGAGACTATATTAGGGTATCTGATACTGGGATTATTCAGCTTCCCAAGCCCCTGGACAGAGAATTCAGTTCCTCATACAACATCACTGTAGCAGCTCAGGAAATCCTTGAAGACGGTAAGTGCTATCCACTTCCCTATTTGAAAGAAATCAGTGTATTTGAAAGAAATCAGGATTGTTGCTTATCAAAAAGGAAAGCTGCTAGCTGACAGCCTGTCTCCACTAAGCTACATATGAAATTATGCTTGCAGGGTTTGCACAATAATCTTCCAAATCAAATGAGTACCTACGAATAGGTCAAATACAGTTTTAAGATTTGGTCCCTAACTATTATGAAGATGCACTGTTTGTTACAAGGAATAAAAAGGGCATGAGGAGAGGAAGCAGCTTGGGAAACAGGGATAAGCCTGTGGTTAGAGCAGAAACACCCCAGCCAGCTTCACCCACTTAGGCATTTACAAAATCCCCCTCCCACACTGTGGCCCAGGGGGCACTGCTGCACAGACATCCCCCCATGGCTTCGCTGGGGTTCAGAGAGCAGCCCAGGCCCACGGGCCAGTCTTAAATGGGTTTGGGGGATGCCAGCCTTTTCTGGAGGGTGAAGGATATTCAATAATATAGACTTGGCCTGCTCTGTGCCTGCTGCCTTAGAGCCAGAGAACAATGTTGGATCCCACAGTCACACAGGGTGAACAATCCTGGAAGCCATAAGCAATTGTCATTTGCTTCCTCATTGATCCTTGATGATTTAGCCTAATCAGAGAGTTTTTAGGAAAATACCTGAATCTGCCAAAGGAATAGTTTGAATTACTGAAGGAGCTAGAAACTCTCCATATTAATCATGCAGGAGGCATGGAGGTGGACACCAACAGTGGAAATGGGGCGCTAGACAAGCACTGAGATTCCAGACATCTGAGAGACCTGCACTGCTGCTGTTGTTGTCATTTCAGGCCGTCTTTCTGACAGAGAGTCACATGCCCAAGTTCACGTGGTAGTTACTGATGAAAATGATAATGCTCCAGAACTTGTTTATCCTGAGGAACCCAGAGTGTGTGAAAATGCTGTACCAGGAAAGGTGAGACAAGAGGGAGAGTTTTTTCCTTAAACCTAAAATATCAACTAGCAAGCTCCATCGAAAGATGTCATTTAATACAAGTTAGTCTCAGTTTTCATACCCGAGCACCTGATCATTTCACCGATTTCCAAAATGTCAGCAGTCAGAAATCTGTCTTCAGGACTTTACACTGTTGGAATATTGACTTCTATCTGCTTACACACATGGGCGGCACAGTTTCTTTCCCTCCAGGATCTTAAGTATGTACCTGCATTAGTAATTGAACCATGAAGTGCAGTCAGACCTTGCAGAGCAAAAATTAGCAATTCAGTTTTAGCATACAAATGTTCATACATGATACAGAGACTGAAATAATTTCAAAATATAAAGAGAAACATTGCTGCATATAACATTATTGTAGTATTCATCAGAGTGCAAGTATCTGCATGCACAAACCGTGTTAGTATTTGTGCGTTTAGATGTTCGGCCTCAGACACCAGTATTTAGACCATACATGTGATGTTTGTTCAATTAAGAGACTTTGTCACAGACTGGACTCTGGATGGAATCTGTTAGAACACACAAGGTACTATTTCACCTGTAATTAAATTTTCAAAATACCTTTTGGATCACAGTCATACACATTGTTTGTATTTTGTACATCTAATCTACCGCAGATTGAGGTTTTCAAAAACAAGCATGTCATTCAGGAGAGGCAGTCTCAATGACACTCAATGAATGAGAGTCATACTTCTAAGTAAGTTGAGCACTTTAGAAGACAGACATCTTAGGTATTTAAACGAGCCATATGTCTTTGAGCATAGGACTTTTTTATGCTTTAATTACACGAGGTTTCCTCTTTTGTTTCCCACCTGTGAATGAAGGGGCAAGACTGTTCTTTTTTGAAAACCTACAAGAAAATTACTTGAATTTAAAGAGGAGCATCATAAGATATCTTTGTCCTGCCCTGTACTGAAGGGTTATTCAGGATACACAGCCCAGCTCCAACTTAAATACTGTAAGCAGTTTTATCACCAGAGGCAATGTATACTGAAAATAGTGACCTCTTCCACCTCTGCAGGTCATCATCAGAATTTCAGCTACTGACAAGGATGAAACATCACCGAGAGGTTTCTTCAAATACTCCCTGGCCACAGAAGATAGCAACTTCTCCTTGGTTGAGAACTACGGTAGTGTATCCCTGCAATATATTTTCCCAGCTAGCCAAAGTGAGACACCAGGACACAGCGGGGAAAGCTGTAGCAATGAGCTATGATTAGTCTAGCTGAGCTAAGTAACAATTTATTTTTAAAGGCTTAACTTACTGAAAAAAAAATAAGTTGTTTGTCACCACCCAAGGTTCACTGGGTTCCCTAAAGGCTGTCTCTGTCTAAGGGGAAGATGTACCAACTGACTGATAATCTATAAGGAAAATCTGGCAGAGATTATCACTTAATTAGATGTCGTTACTTCTTCCAGATAACACAGCTAATATCACTGTCAGATACGGACAGTTCAATCGTGAACTTGCCAAAATCCACTACCTGCCTGTCATCATCTCAGACAACGGTGATCCTGAGCTCAGCAGCACAAATACCCTTGTCATCAGTGTCTGCAAGTGTAATGAAAAAGGCAACTTCACTTTTTGTGAGGAAAGACCTAAACAAGTTGGAGTTACTATACAAGCACTGGTGCCAATTTTTATCTGCATCTTCATAGGTAAGTATTTGACTTTTGTAATGTTCCCTGTTTTGTTTTGTTTTTTCTTAACTGAGATCTACAAAAGCTTTGTGGCTATAAAAGGGTCACAAAGGCAGAAATACTGTAACTATTTGATTCATCTCACTTGCTCTGTCTACTTGGCCTGATAGCATAGCTTCAGCTACAAAGCTGTTCGTTGTATTGGAAGGGCTCAGTCACTGGAAAGGCTATTGCACATATGCATGATATACTTGATTTACTGTTACTAGGCTCACGTGCTGCTATAAAACAGGAAATCTGTGCTGGGGCAACAACAATACGATTCCTGTTTCCAAAGGCTTAACTAGTCTGGAAATCCTTTAAACAGTACAGTGAATATATACACATAAATAAATCTGTAACAAATCAGCAGACCAGTACCTATTTGGTACCTGGAATTTGCTGTATTTTGAATCTATCAGAGAAGGGGCAATATTTTTTCTTCCTTGAGAAGAGGCCTCCTTTGCAATTACCACATAAGTAGTATTTGATGCCTGACATTAAAAGATTTACCAGTTCAATGCAGTAGTTGATTCAGTGAACTTCTGACACTATGGATTTGTACTTGTGATTCCAGCTCAAGTTGGGTGTACAATTCCTGTACAGTTTTGAGAACACAGCAGTCCTACAGTTAACAGTATTTAAAACCATTTTTTAATAAATATGTGTTAAAAAAAATCTTTCTGGAAGAAACCCACTTCAGACTGTGTTACATATCTCAAATGCCATCTGTTTTACTTCCTTATTTCTCTATTTACATGTGCTCATCTAAATTTTCTTTGCAGTAATCATATTGCTAATTCTTCTAAGAAGGAGACATAAGAAGGATTTGAGCGGTCTTGGGAGGAATGTGGCAGAGATTCATGAGCAGCTTGTCACTTACGATGAAGAAGGTGGTGGTGAAATGGATACCACCAGCTATGATGTATCTGTACTCAACTCTGTCCGCAAGAATGGTATAAAGCTGGATGCAGTTCCCTCTCCATATGCACAAGTCCAAAAACCTCCTGGAAATAAAACTTCTGGTGCTGGAGAAATGGAAATGATGATTGTGGCTAAGAAGGATGAAGCCGACAATGACAGGGATTTGCTGCCATACGACACACTTCACATTTACGGCTACGAAGGTGCCGAGTCCATTGCAGAATCACTCAGTTCTTTGGAATCAGGCTCCTCAGACTCAGACATTGATTATGACTTTCTAAATGATTGGGGACCCAGATTTAAAATGTTAGCTGAGTTGTATGGATCAGAACCAAATGAAGATTTTGTGTATTAAGTTCAAATTAGCCACGAATTCTCTCCCTCTCGCTACACAGCCATTAAGAGCATGTCGATGGCCACAGAAGAACTCACAGCTCTCCACTCAGGCCATACTAGAATTTCAAACAGACATGAAAAAAACCTGATAGGGGTTTAAAGTAGGGTTAAAGAGAAACACACAGTATATTGACTTCCCCCAGCACTATTATCCTTGCTAAGATTCAGTTCTTTCCCCAAACTTGCTGCTCAACGACTTGCTCAAGTCTTCTAGGACACAACTCCTCTCCCTAGTAAGATAGACACTTCTTAAATAGTGGTTTTGTCCCCAGATTCTCCTTCATTCCTCTTCTCTTGTACTGTTTTCATCCACAGGCACTCAAGGTCACCATCCGCTGGCACAGAGAGGTCTGGCAGCATTGCGAAGGAATGTTTTGCATAACCTCCTGTAACTCCAGCCGGCTGCTTGCCTGGCCCTCTTGTAACATCTTTATTGATATTCCATGCTTTTGCTTACCCATCAGAGGAGGAACATATGGTCCATCACTCCATATTAGAAATTATTCCATCACCTTCAAAAAGAGACATAATTTTTCCTTCTTTCCAATCTATTAATTATTCTTGTTTTATAGTCTTCTACTACACATATGAGTTACTAAAGATAAAATTAGACAGGATTTTTAGATGCACAATCTGGTTTCATCTGTCATTTTTTACAGCCTGATGATGATTTCAGGCACCTTTCTGGCATGCTAGAATTTGCTCTAGCTAGCAGCAAAAATTGTTTTTTCTTTCTGTAAATAGGATCTCAGTGTTGCTCAATGGAACACATCCTGCAGGGCAGGAAATGTGGAGATCAGGGAACCGATACTGTAAATCTCTCTAGATGGCAACATAGGCCTCTCTAGATTTTTGAGGAGGTTGAATAGGATTTTATGCAACGTTATTAAAGCAACTGTATTATTTCAGGGACAAACAAATGAAGGGCCTCATTACTGTGAAACTGTTTTGATTTTTTTCTAAGCAGGTACTGTAAAATGGGTATTTTCCACCTAGGAAAATACTGTAGTCTTCCAAACCAGAATGCTACAAACCCACACATTTGTCTGCATAAAAGAACCGCAAATGTAAGAAAGGTTTTGAAGCTGCAACTACTATGTCCCTGGTAAGTGTGTGTTCAGTTTCTCACCTGATGAAGAGCCACAGAATGTTCAGAATGAAACTTCCCAAGCAGGAAGTTACCCAGCCAAATACACACTGTAAAAAGCGCATCTCTTAGGAGAATGGCCTGGCTGTGGCTTCTGGCAATGCAGATTCCCATAGGCTTCAACAGGAACAGAGCCCTACCACACATACGCCATTCTGCAGAATCTGTGCTGGAGCTGTATGTAATAGTTTAGTTGACTTGATTATTTAAATTTGGTAGCTAATCAAATAGTACTAAATCTATTTTTTTTCCCTAAACTAGTATAGTGGAACCTCACAAATTTGCTCTTCACTTATGCATGTCATGTCTAATTTACACTCCCTTCCCCCAGAATGCTCTCTTGGCAGGAAACAGCAATGCACTATAATATGGTCTCCCATTAGTCCTCACTACCGTAAAAAGTTGCCCAGTACAACACATAGCTGGATACTAATGCCTACTAACATCAATAACACAATCACTCAAATTTTCAAATATGAACTAAAGGAAAACTATGTAGAATTCTGCCCATCAGTCAAATCAGCTTTGGATCAGAAAGAAAACATTCTTTATAAAAGTAGTATATTTTGGGATGACAGCTTTGGTTTTATTTTTAATGTTTTCATTCTCTTCTGTTCTGCGTAATCCAGTCAACAGTGTATGCTACTGAGGTTCCATGTATTAGTACATTATAAAGAATGCTAACTAATAATACTTACAGTTTAAGGTTTTCATCAGTACCTAAGGTATTGGCTATCAACAGGTAAAGTTAGTTATGAAATTATTTAGTGAAGTAAGTAAAGTACTTTAGTAAGCATCATCCAGATAGTATTACCTGTAATCACTATTTTTAAGCTTGTTTTATAAAGCTATTTTAAGAACACTGTAACAATTTCCACTGTATAAAGACGTTTGCACTGGATAATTTCTTTTTATATTGCTGTACTGTATTTTTTTTTACTACATAAAAGCCAATCTCAAGTTTGTATTTTCTGTGCATTAATGAGCTTCACGCAGAAGACTGTACCATGCTTAGTACCACAGTGAACTCAACCACAAAAGCACTGGTATCCATGCTCTAAGTGAACTCAGACTAGACACCAATTCACCAAAGGACTTTCTGTAAAAGAAGTTTTCTCCCACTCTTTGGAAAGCTGTCATTAAAGCTCCTGGGGTGAGAAAGAAAAGCCCCAACAGTGCAGTCTGGGTACAGCAGCTGGTAAGGTTGAACCCTCTGACTTTGGAGGACTCGCGCCTGCCAGTGCTACGGGATGCATTCAGTTTCCGAGCAGATGTTTGGTATTTTAGCAGCCAGGCATCAGGGTGAGTTTGAACTGCCATGTTAACTGGGATCCTGCCCTTTTCTCCTACTGGAAGAGTACTCCTCTCCAATGGTAAAGGACACACTGCAGAACAGCCAGTACTAACACCCTGGGTCAGCAGATACCACCCACCTACGGGGAGCCACACACGTGTCCACCACCTGCGTGGTCTATCAGTGGTACCTCAGTGGGAAAAAAGGCTGACACCCTCAGCAGCTGCCCCCGGCCGCTGGCCTCCTCTCTTCCCTCTTCTGATCTGCTGCTACAGACATATACAAGCAGGACTGCCCTGTAGCACACTAAAAGCTCCAGCTTTCGCACAGCCCAGTATTTAGAAAGGACATGACAGAACAGTACACACCTGTGACAGAAATACAAAAATTGTGGCTTTAGATAGCACAGTTTCTTAGCATTTCTTCTGCTACTAACAAGGACTACCGCAATGTATTCCCAAGATTATTCTAGTGCTTTAAAAAAATCACATCCATTTTCCTCAGATATGGCACTTACAATTTACAAAGCCTGGAATAAAGCAAAAAAGTTCAATTCCTTCACTGCTAATTGCCATGAGAAACTCCCGTTCAAACACACTTCAGCACAAGTTGTATTAAAAACACAATAGATGTGCTAATTATGTTATAATTAAATGCATTTTTCCATAGAAAGAATTTGATTAAACAGCTACTTGCAACTTGTAGAAGAGATTCACATAAAGGTTTTTATTATTCACTTAATTAATATGCATTTTAATATCTTATCCCTAAAAACACAAATTATTATTTTATTACATTCAGACACAGAAGTTCATGCCATTTAATATGGGTTTTTTACTCCCACCTCATTAGAAATTTTTATGAAATAATGACTTGTGATCAGAATCTTTGATAGGTACCAAAGCAGCAATGAAAAGCTGTTTGAATATTAACACTTGGCACACTGCCACACTTCCAGTCAGGTGAGCTAAGGTCCCATTACCAAACCAAATGTCCACTGTTCAGGGAAACACAGAGCATTTGCATCGGGTATCATCTGATTACAGTCCAGTGCTACTGATACACAGTCAGGAAGAACATAACAGCAAATCCAGTGAAAACAGAAGGATTAGTTATAAAAGGAAAAAAAAAAACACAACACTTTTTTGAGTTCTTGCTCTTCGTTTTGTGGGTTCTTCCCTTGTCTCCTGTCACAATAGCACAGAAGGGACCCAGAAGGAGCCAGCACAGAAGGGATTTAAAAGGGACCAGCCAACCCGGTAACCAGGCCTGATCAAGCACAGGTCAAGCCACCCAGCCAGGACTAACCGTAGTGAGCAAGTCGCATAAAGCCACATCATTTTTTGTTGAAACTTAAGAGTTCAGAGTACAGATCCACCTGCATACATTTATTTTAGATGCTTTCACACCTATGCATATGTCACATGCAGGGGAAATGTTCATGGTGGCAGTGAACACGCAGATACACTATCCTATTTGGCTAGAAATACTAGTTATACTTATTTCCATTATATTTCAGGTAGAGTTAGGACAGAAAAAAGAATCACTGCCATCTTTGCTCACCTATTCTCCCTTCCTACTTTTTTTGGTTTGTTTAAATGAATGTTTCAAGTTTGAGGGAGTAAGAATTAAAACTCTTGTGTTTCACCTTCACATGCTTCCTGGAAAGAAAGAAATCACCAAGGTGATATCTTTCCCTTTTAAGAAGCTATGACAATTTTACTGTAGCACAAGTCATCAAGTTTTACCAGGAACCGAATAAGAATCTGACCGGATCAAAGTGGAAGATTTAACCTAAATCTTGTCCATAGAAAAAGCACAAAAGAAAACAAAACAGCAAATATGCCCTTTTAGTCTGCATCAGAAAAAGGAAAAGAAAGCAAAACCAGCAAAACTCTTTTATGAGCAATAAAACCCCATGGATCTTTGCTGACCTCCCTCAGCTTCCTGGCTTTGTTCTTGCCTGACCTGAAAGAAAAGGGAAAAACAGCATTTCCTTCCACTTATCCACAGTGAAGGGCTGTCCCACCTGCTTTCTCACAAGACTCTCTTAATTCATTCTAGTTAACCCCTTCATCAATGCTGCAATCAATCATAATTCTCTGCAACTCTTTCATTCCTCATTAAAAAGGAACTTATACTTGAAAGCCGGAGCTCTGAATGAAGTTACCGAAACAAGCAGAACAAAGCAAGACAAAGTTCAGCAAATCTGCAAAATAAGCCAAATAAGGTGTTTCCGAAAGCTGGACTGCAAATGGTCCAAGGAGCTCTCCCAGCAGCCTCAGAAGAGGTCAAGGCCTGAGCTGCAAAGCCCTCTACAAACCAGCACAGTCTCAAATGGAAAGGTTCAAAAGGAGGCTTCCTGTAGCCATCTGCTGCTCTGATCCATCAATTCCTTCTGCATTGCAGGCATTTCTTGGGACAGTGTATAGCCCCTACAGACTACTGCAGCTTGGGCAGCACAAAGAAAACAGACTGAAACATGAGTCCACACCCCATCATTTTAAAATGTCTTTTC